CCAGAATCCTTCTTCTGTAGAACCCTATTGAAGCACTTGTCTCACACAGGCCAGGTTACTGGCCCTATGTTACTCCTGGGGGAATTTTGCACCACTGCGCGTGCGCAGAATTCATGTCCCAAGCAGATTTTTTTTGCTTCCCCGCAGAAAATTTACTTTCTGAGAGGGAAGCAAAGGAAGCTGCAAGAGTAGTCACGCACCACTCCTGAGCAGCACAGGTACAACCTTTCAGGCACCCAGTGCAGCCGGCAGATAGGTAAATCACCATGGGGCTAGGGACACCCCAGCCAGTGGCTCCTACCCTGAGCCGAGATCAGCTGCTAGTCCCAGCTGCGCTGGAGACAGGAGAGGATGGGACCTTCCTCCTCCCCTGCAAGGAGTGGCTGGGGCTGTGTCAGACCCACCCCCAGAAACCTCCCCCAGCTACAGGAAGCTCAGCATCCTCCCCTGCTGCCTGCCCCCATCACTCTTCAGCTGTGGGAGGAGGGGTCACTGTACATGAAGCTGCTCCCCCATCCACCCTACCCCTGTGCATCCAGATCTCCCATACCCAGACACCCCTGCAAGCCCCACCAGGTACATCAGGAACCCCCCTATCCCTCCATACCTGAACCCTACTTCACTGAACCTCAACCCCTGCATCTGGAGCCATCCTGCACCCAGACCCCCAATCTCTGGACTCCCACCCCTTCACCCAGACCGCCCCTCACTGAGCTCCCTGTAATCAAACCCCCACCCTGATGCAGCACCCCCTGCACCAGCCTGAGCTTCCGCATCCAGACTTCCACACCACTGACCACCAACTAGCTGCACCCAGACCCTACCCCACCAAGCCCACTCCCCCAGCACCCAGACCCCTGTGCTGAGCCCCAACAACAACCTTCATCTGGAAACTCATGCAGAGTCCCATTGCTCCTGTACCTGGAACCCTGCAACAAGCCCCTGTGCATCCAGATCCCCCCACACCTAGACCCCCCACTGAGCTGCCTGCACCCAGGTTGTCCCACACAGAATCCTCTTACCCCACACCTGAATCCCCCCACACTTGGATTCTGCCTGGTTGAGCCTGCCTGCCCGTATCTGGTGTGCCTGGCGCAGAAGGGCAGGGCCCCAGGGTGTTTCTGGGACAAGCCCAGGCCTTGTGCTGCGTCAGGGTCGGGTGCAGCCTCACTGCCATGCGGGAGCCTCTGCATTTATTTATTGACAAATAAAACCTGCAGAATTTTAAAATATTGTGCGCAGAATTTTTAAATGTTTTGGTGCAGAATGCCCTCAGGAGTATTACTAATGTGATGTGCTAGCAGCTACTAGTAAGACGGCAAGAGTAAGGTAAATTGAATTTCGACGATTCAGCCTCTGGCTGAAACAATGTAGATTTCCTATTTGATTTAATCACAAGGCATCTTGACATGTTAGTCAGGGAAGGAACCTGTCAGCCTTAACTTTAAGGCCAATTTCCTTTTGCAAGCAGCATAACAATGACATTTTCATGAGGAATACACCAGTGAATGAAAAAGTTAATCTTTTTTGTTTCAGCTTTCCTTTACAACAAACCAGAACTGGGACAAAGGTCAGAAGGATCAGGTGACTAGTTTAAATGACCCTATTGCACAGTCCTGCCTTTAGAATGGACATTTGTTTCAAAATAATTTCCTCAAAACTGCAGATTGAAAATCCCAATTTTTCCTATCTTGAATAAATTGTTTTGATTTTCTTCCATCTAGACTTGAGTTACAGTAAACCAGTAAAAGACTAGAAAAGGTTTTATGGCTCTAATTATTGACAGTAAGCTTCTTTAAACAGTTCCTACATCCTTAAAAGCATCTTGCACTAATGCTCTTCTTTCTTTTTACTAAAAAAAAGAACGAGGACTACTGGTGGCACTTTAGAGACTAACAAATTTATTTGAGCATAAGCTTTTGTGGGCTAAAACCCACTTCATCAGATGCATGCAGTGGAAAATATAGTAGGAAGATATATATACACAGAGGATATGAAAAAATGGATGTTGCCATACTAACTATAACGAGAGTAATCAATTAAGGTGGACTATTATCAGCAGGAGAAAAAAAACGTTTGTAGTGATAATCAGGATGGCCCCTTTCCAACTTTCCAGACTTTGAGGTCTGTCAGAGTCGCAATACTCCAACAAAAAACTTCAAAAACAGACTCCAAAGAGAAACTGCAGAATTGGAATTAATTTTCAAACTGGACACCATTAAATTAGGTTTGAATAAAGACTGGGAGTGGATGGGTCATTACACAAAGTAAAACCTATTTCCCCATGCTAATTTTTCCCCCTGCTGTTACTCACACCTTCTTGTCAACTGTTGGAAATGGGCCATCCTGATTATTACTACAAACGTTTTTTTTCTCCTGCTGATAATAGTCCACCTTAATTGATTACTCTCGTTATAGTTAGTATGGCAACACCCATTTTTTCATATCCTCTGTGTATATATATCTTCCTACTGTATTTTCCACTGCATGCATCTGATGAAGTGGGTTTTAGCCCACGAAAGCTTATGCTCAAATAAATTTGTTAGTCTTTAAGGTGCCACAAGTACTTCTCATTCTTTTTGTTGATACAGACTAACACGGCTGCCCCTCTGAAACCTTTCTTTTTACTGTGGTTTGCTCAGGTTACTCTGCTTCCTATCTGCTCCTGGTAATGCCTTCATTATAGGCGAATCCCCAGGCCAACCTCACCTTACACTAGTACAGGTTAAAAACATCGGTCTTGTGCAAAAATAGCTCTCACACTTATTCTCATTTCATTAGTCAATTTTTTGGTGGTAAAAAGTGCTGGTTTGACATCCCATATATGTACAGCATGGACATTGGCAGAATTTCCCCCAGACCCTCTCTATCTTTTTCTAGCGAGACAATGTCTAGCAGGGGAGAATAAATCTGTGTGGATGAGTTGAGCTAAGCTGCACAAAAACTGAGTCGGTTCACAAGGCTTCTGGGCAGTTGAGAGGTGGTTCCAATCTACTTCCTCCCAAAAAAGTGACCAATCTTTCTTTAGAAGCTAAACAATCTTTCTGCTTCTGTAGTTACAGGTGCCATAGCATACTTCAAAGCAGCAGAGACAGACAAGCAGAGAATTCAGCAAGGCATAGAGTTCTTACCTATGGAAATTCCATTGGTGAAAACTGAGTTTAGAGTGTGGTTTCTGACAGGACTGTGGGATTCTAGGACACTGTCATCCAGCAGGTGGCGTGGCTTCTCTGTTGGAAACGTTGCACTTTTACTTTCAACTACACTGAACTGACACATCATACTGGAAAGTTGGGAAAGAAAAAAAAATGCAAAAGCTCTTACGTAATCTGATTACATCCATTCACTCCCGTTTTTTCCACTCAGACTTTGCCTCACCATACAATGATCATAAATGTCAATAAGTTCTTTAGTAGCATGCAGTTAAATGGGACTTCTCACATTTTCCTACTGCTCGTACATAAGCTGCATAAAAACCTAATCAGGCTTTGGATTTAGTAGTGTGTATGGTTAACAATTGTTGTATTTGTGCAGATGGGAATTTATTGCTTTTAATTTATTTGCTCTGACTCCTCACTGTACAGAGGCTGTGTAATCTAGTGGTGAGAAGCATAGATAGAAGACTGCACGCTCTGCAGCTAATTCATTGCTGAATGATCCTCAGATAACCTAATCAACGGACACTGTGTGACACTGGACAAGTCACATGAGCTCTCTGCCACAGTCCATCCACTTGTAAAATTGGGTAGATGTAGAAACTTTAATTGAAAAGGAGATGCTGTCACTGATCTGAGCTTTCTCAGTAAATGGTAAAGAGGGAGTCTCTCTCTAACCCATACAATTCAGCTAATACAGTGCAGAAAGGCCACAACTTTTCAGAACAGTAGTGGGTGCAAAGAGATTGTAATGTTCCTTGGATGGATCATTGAGATGTTAAAAATCTGTTATGCACATCAGACATTCACACAAATCAAAGCGGATAGTATAAGAATGACACTGAAGTGAGTATTGCCAACTTTTCCTGGCACTAGCAGGAAGCATGGTATCAGTTAAAACAACAGAAAAGTGTTAAGACATCTTTCTGGAAAATCCTGAAGCACACAAACTAATGCCTGAATCACTCCTATAGGACTAGAAATGGGAGAGGGGCATTAGAGGAAAACTGTCTGAAATTTCTAAGAATTTTCAACTGCTGGATTAATCCCTAATGATGCTTGAACTGACAGAGGCTGAGACAGTGTAGAGCACCCACTTGTTTCCCAGGCTGTGACTCTTCCTGTGTCTTGGTACAGGAGGGGTTGGGAGGCTGGCTGCCACTGAGGCATCAGGACAAGTTGGTCTTCTGCTGAACCTCACAGTTGCTGACACCTCTGATGGACCTAAAAATAGAAAAAATAATAATGCTGAACTGATGCAAAAAACAGAAATGTCAGGGGCTGGTTTTGGTTGTTTTCTTTGTTTTTGAGAGGGCTCAGAAATCCAGCAGACTTTCAGAAATAAGGTCTCATGATTAAACAGCCACTACTTAAACTGAATTGTTACAGATCTCAAAAGGCAGCTGCATTTATGAAATAGCATCTCTTGCCTACTGGGTTACACCATCTGTTTCTATAAAGGATCCATCCAATTAAAGCAAAATGGAAATGGAAGTCATCCTCAAAACATTCCTGCACATATTTTTAATGACGGACTCCCACAAAAAGTCTTGGCCACTTACAACTGTTGGATTTGCTAACACATAACTTGCACAGCCATAAAGTCAGTTTGTGCTTCAAGGATAAGCAGTAATGTCTAAGAAAACATATGTTCTGAATTTGGTTCGAAACCCCATCCAGCTGTAAACAGTTTGCTCATATTGACTCATAGCATGAATATCTGAGAGAAAGCAGGGACTTTTCACGTAGCTTACAGCCAGACACATGTGTTATTTCTCAATTATCTGTGATCTTTGGGAATTTAGGAAAGTCTCACTGAAAATTATCCTCCTTCTCATTTCCTAGATTTTATCAGGGTCCATAGTCACCATGGTGACTATGCAAGGCTACTCTCATCCCTTCTCCTGAATGCTGTCTGCAAGAGGCTTGCAGCACTCTTGGCCAGGAAGCAGAGAACAACATAGGTAGCAACTTCTTATGTCTTTGGAGGTAGGTCACTGCACTTGAGGCTGTTCTTTGTTTCACAGTAAACTGTTTAGTTGTGACTTTAACACTGGTGACAGATTCTAGAGGGATGGCCTTGGAAACAGGCTGCTCAGCTTGTCCCCAGTTCAGGCAGCAGCAGTGCACAGTATTCCACAGAGAACACTTCTTGAGGGTTTGAGGAGAGCTTAGTATCTGTGGCCTCTCTGCTGAAATTGCTCCTAGGGGGCCAATTGTGATGGAAATTCTGTGATATGAAAAACCATGTCTAACTGACCAAACCTCCCCCTCTCCTCACCCCAAGTTTACAGCTGAGATGTCTTTTTGGTTTGGAGGAAAAACTTCTGGATGCCTGTATGTGCTGGAAATAGATAGGTGCCATCAGCACCCATAGAGAGGAGCTTTGGTTTAAAATGCTCCTAAATTGAGGCAGAAGAACATTCCACTGCATAGTGTAAGAGTTGGGTATGGAGAAAGGCTAATATCAGGAACAGCTGGGCATCTGCCACACAGACCAAACACCATGAACAGGATAGGCATAGAATTTGTTCCACAACAGTTTCTCCTGTTTTGGCCTGAGAGCTCATGGCACAGACTGCAGTGAGTCAAAGAGCAGTTGCTTCCTCAAGAAAGAACAATGCATCCATTAATAAGAGGGAGCTGCTAACTGGAAAAGAGTTGATATTATAAAATAGATCCAGGACTTCTTACTGTCCAGTCCAGCTGTCAGCCTGGAGTTTTACTTTTTTACTTTAGATAGACCTTGGTGAAAGATTATTTACATTGTAATTTCTCCATATTGTAGGCTCAAAGATGCCATCATGAGCTGTGCCATCAGTAGGAGCAAATTACAATGGCTGCTCCATGTCAGCAATGGGTAAACTGTCTGTTCAGCTTCCCAGGAGCACTCAAGAGCACCTTTTATCTTACTTTTTAGTTGGACAAAGAAAGTGCTTAGGGACAAACCAATATTGTGGAAGGAGAGAGATGACATTGGTCCTTATAACCAAAAGAGAGGAAACAAACACTTTAGATGTATCATTTATTAGATCATCATTTGGTGGGTACACACAAAGAGAGAATTTATCTAATTCTGTCTTTAGCCTTTTTTCCCAATGCTCGTCTGAATAGGTTCTCTGTTGCGTTTGTCCTTGCTACAATGCTGAGTTACCAAAGTTTCTATTTCACTCAACCTCTTGTAGATAATATAAGGGGTTTTAACTTTGGTCAAGGAAATCTCTCCCTCAGCATACATTCTATTACAACGTGCATATATGATAGTTCATTACAATTCATAGTTGTTTAACACAAATATGAATTAAACTTCCTTTTTGGAGAACTAGAAATCAAAAAATATTTTAGTGGTTGCTATAGTGTAGTTTCCAATTTAACAATGCAAGTCACATGATAAAAAAATCATTTACGCATAGTTGCTATACAATAGGATCTCAAAATATAATTAAAAATCTTCTAAAACTCCACAGTTCTGAGGGTCTAAGTTCTTCATAACTTTTCTTTTTGTTCTCATGTGAAAAGTCAGTTAGCTCAAAGCAATTAAATGTCTTAAATTCTGTAGCAATCCACTGTACGAAAAAAAAACCCAAACAACTTTCTCTCAGAAAATGAACAGCAAGGGAAGATTCCGTCCTGAGATAGTCATGAATAAGTCATTGTGAAGTTGATCAAAGTTGTGCACAAATATCTCAGTCAGAATGTGGCTCTAAGTATTTTAAATAACTTATAAGTTCAAGTGCTATGTCTATCAAAACGAGGAGAAAGATTACGTATCACATTAAATATATTTCATTAAGGGTTTCTTCTGTATAGTCACACTCTTGGAAATAGTACCCTCTTAAGGCAGCAGAGGGTGCAATTCACAAGATCGTGAATAAATAGAAGTCCTTGAACAAAAATATTAAGATTTAAAGTTGCAATGATTATAATTAAGGCTATGATTTCGTCAGGGGTATTTATAGTATAAGTCATGGACAGGTCATGGGCAATAAACAAAAATTCACGGGCCCGTGACCTGTCCATGACTTACACTAGAAATACCTCTGACTAAATCATGGGGTGGGGCTCTGCTGGGTGGGTGTGCACTGGGGGGCACGCCGGGGCCAACAGCACCAGCTGCCCAGGGTCTGTGAGCAGCGGCTACTCCGGCCGCCTGGGGACTGCTGCCAGGGACCGCCAGCACTGGCTGCTCTGGCCGCCTGGGGACTGCCAGCACCAGTTGCTGCTGGGGGCCGCCAGCAGCAGCTGCTCTGGTCACCAGCAGCGGGCTGCTCTAGCCACCCTAGGGACCGCCAGTTCTGGCTGCCCCAGGGATTGCTGCTTGGCGGTCCCGGGGCCAGCTGCTTAGGGCCGCCAGAGCAGAGGCTAGGGCGGCTGGCCCCATGGCTGCTCCAGCAGCAGCTGGTGTGGCTAGCTGCGGGGCCGCCCAAGCAGCTGGCTGCAGAGCCGCTCCAGCAGCATCAGGTGTGGCTGTCTCTGGGGCCACCTGAGCAACAGACCCCGGAGCCAGCTACTTGGGAGGCTCTGAGGTCAGCCACACTGGCCACTGCAGAAGTCACGGAGGTTGCGAAATGTCACGGAATTTGTGACTTCCGCAACCTCCGTGACAAACAAGGAGCCCTAATTATAATTCCTTTTAAGGAGACTAAAAGAACTTTCAGATCGAGCAGATATTATGACACCAAAACACTAAAAACTAAACCTGGTTAAAAAATGGTGAAACCCTTCTTAATGTATACAAGAGGACAGGATAACTCAGATTGGGGATAGGTTATGAAGCCTTTCACCTCTAAAGCATTTGTTCCAATCAGGCTCATGTTGAGGAATAGTTGGCTTGTGCGGGAGGGTGAAAGCAGAAGGGGGATATGGGGCCTTTCACTTTAGGGCACCAGTTCAAATCTGACCATCTGATAGTGACTGACAGTAATTACTATTTCATCTGTCTTGTGAACATAAGAACATAAGAATGGCCATACTGGGTCAGACCAAAGGTCCATCCAGCCCCAATATCCTGTCTGCCGACAGTGGCCAATGCCAGGTGCCCCAGAGGGAGTGAACCTAACAGGTAATGATCAAGTGATCTCTCTCCTGCCATCCATCTCCACGCTCTGACAAACACAGGCTAGGGACACCATTCCTGACCCATCTTGGCTAATAGCCATTAATGGACTTAACCTCCATGACTTTATCTAGTTCTCTTTTAAACCCTGTTATAGTCCTAGTCTTCACAACCTCCTCAGGCAAGGAGTTCCACAGGTTGACTGTGCGCTGTGTGAAGAAGAACTTCCTTTTATTTGTTTTAAACCTGCTGCTCATTAATTTCATTTAGTGGTCCCTAGTTCTTATATTACACTGCTCTACAGCCAAAATGCTTCTGAAATAAATGTAGTCAAACTTTACTAATTCTGGGTCACTGAGAACGAAAATGATGCTTAAAATTGTTGATTGGCTCTAGTTTTCAAGATATGCTATTGGGTCAGTATATACGACCCTTGACTTGGGAATGGCAGAGAATAAGTGAGTTATAAAGGGAAGGGATCTCAATTTAAACCAGAAATGACTAAAATACATCTTTGACTGGATCGATGAATAAATCTATGACTGGGTTTGGACAGTACTTGCTTTTTAGGCAAAACAATGAATGATGCAATCTGAAGCTGGTATTGCATCATACATGATATGAATTGTATCATGTTGTCCCTAGAAGTCATGAATGATGCAATCATAACGAAGCTTACATCACTCTGCTGAACAAATTGCGCTATATCAGCTCTAGAAATCATACAGTGTCGTGCGCTCTTATTTGTCAGTGTTTGATTTTGCAAAGGGACACATTTCTGTTTAGCCAAAGTGAGCAGAGATGCCTCATACTTGTGTGAACAGTGCTGATAACTTCTGCTATATTTGTGGTGAAGTGACTTTTGCATCACAAAAGCGCAGTATAACCACTATGGTTAAGAAAGCCTATCA